CGCTATTCGTCACCCAGGGTGAACAATACTTATTCATCACCCCAGCCAGCCCGTGCGCCCGTCTAACCAGCCCCATGCGCCGGAGTAAGAAAACAAGAAAACTTGCATGCAACGTAAGATTACAACAGTGCTCACCGTGCCCCCACCTAACCAGCCACTTGCACCGAAGTAAGGAATCCTTGCATGCAATGATGCAACGCAAAATTACTACAATAGCAACCGCGCTTCGCGTGCGTTTTGTGACTCCGTAAGAAAACATGCATGAGCGATGTAAAAAAGGAAATTCCATGCTAGCCTCTGCGTGTGTGCCTCGAGTTCAGCAAACTGCTGGCCAACGTAAGAAAATTAGGAGCCACATAGAATATGGACACGTTGTCCCAATGACAACCACCCATGAAAGGATCTTGGCAGCTCGTGTAAGAAAATGGTAACCAGCGGAAGAAAAACAGGACTTGCAGGAAACCGCTAATTGAACCAGCCAACATGAAAAAGATTGAGACCCGTTGTGAGAATTTGAGAGCTCACGTAAGAGGAATATCAGTAACACGCGGTATAATAATGAACTTTATCAACACAATTATTTTATGTAAGATCTTCAACAAGGTGGAAATTCTCGTATTTCTTATGTACATGTTCCTCAGCACATAATGCATTTGTACGTTAATTAAGACGACCGATGTCTTGGTATGAGTAAATATAAGAATTCATTTTTATCATGATGCTTGACAATTCTAAAAAAATCATGATGCTTTACATCAAGAAGATGGAAGAATATACAGATTCGAAAAGCAAATAACTATGATTCATTTGTTTCTTCCAAGAAAGTACTTCCACTGACCACCTGGCTTTGTTTCCATGGGGTTAAAGCTATTGTGTCCAGAGAAGATGGCATACCATCATACCACGCATGGATTCACACCCAAAAAAGAAAGAAAACAATTCACACTGCAGCCACAATCTAGTGGACATCCAGCCAGATCAAGTGTTGTAGCCAGCTAAATCAAGATGGAGTCACTAAACAGGGATGCCTTAAATCTGGGACATAATGAGTTGGTATGTTTCGCTCATTTACCATCCACGACATCAAAAGCCTACAAGCGAAGTAACCATGTTAAACTTACAAATCCTAAACTGACAGTGATAAGAAGGGTTGGAAACATAAGGAAAGCAAGATCACATTATAAGTTTACCAACTACATTAATGATATAGTCCACACAAAAAAATACATTAACGGTAATATATTTCTGATTCACATTAGACAAGGTAGCGGTTCAATCAGCTCTAGAACAAATGTGTTAAGTATGAAAGTATTTTTCATAGTATTTGCATGTGCTACATTCTAATTTTTCTAGGCAGGTGGCTCACTTCCCACCAAGACTAAATAGTAAGATAGATACTAAATATGCATATCTAAATTTGTACAGTGAGTAGCATGCCACAATAGGACATATAGAGTACATTAAATCTCAAGTATTTATATGCTCGTTTCAAGAGTGTGCCAAAACATAAGTTAAATCTTGGTAGTGACTGAAGCAGACTATTGGAAAGTATAAATTGAATAAATAGGATTCTTCTGCTTTAAGTAATAGATGAATGGCATGAATTATATCTTCGTAGCGACTATTGCATCACATACTAAGAATAAAAAATCAAAAATTCCATGTTGGATTTACCTTGACGACTCAAATATGATGAGGGAACTTGGATTTTCAAAAAGAATTGCAAGTGAACTATTGAATACTAACGTCGTTTAGCTCACAAAAACATAGATGAAAAACACTACACGACCTAAACTATGAAAGGGTTCGGTGGATTCAACATTTAGCTCACCTTAGGCCATACGAGGCTACAGTTTTGAGACAGGCTGTCAAATCGCGGAGCACCACGCCGCCGTATCCCCGCATGTTGTTCGCCGTCGATAATCTCGAACCGTTGGCAACCTTTTTTTAACTCAAGGAAAGAAAAGGACGTGGATGGGAGGTGGACGGGAACGTGGGCATATAAACGTAAAATTAGATAGATACTGGTGTAATTTTACAGCCTGAACGCTGGCCTGTGCGGCTTAGTGCGTGGCCTCTGGCGACTAGGGTGAGAAATAAGTAATTCCTCACCCAGGGTGTCTAATAGAGTGTATATATATATATATATATATATATATATATATATATATATATATATATATATATATATATGCATAACGTGTACAATGTGTAGTATCGTAAAATACCAGCAAACGAAAAAGAATTAAAATGGAAACACAAAATTAAATAAAAAAGAAATCATAAAACTAAAAAAACCCCAAACCGGTTGGTATTACCAACCGGTACTAAAGGCCTCTAGCCCCCCGGAGCTGGCTCGTGCCACGTGGTTGCCCTTTACCACCGGTTCGTGCTGAACCGGTACTAAAAGGGGGGGGCCTTTAGTGCCCACACTTTAGTGCCGGTTATGGAACCGGCACTAAAGGGCCTTACGAACCGGTGCTATTGCTCGGTTCTGCACTAACGGTCCCACGGTATCATTCCAAAACCTGATAGGCTGATCTGGGCTCGCACGACCGGATACTGTCCGATCCAGATCTCTTGGGCAAGATCACCGTCAGCAGTTCCGGAACCCGTTGATGACCAGATCAAGGAGGGCCAATCATGTTGAACGCTGCCGTGATGCGAGCAGAGCACGAGGACCGCTACCTTTATTCACGGCAGCAGCCCCCATGCCGCCCTGAACCAGCCTGCCGCCGCCTGGCCGGCCACCATTGACACCACCACGGTGCCTACCTGTCGCCGTCAGGCCCCCAACTGCGCCACCGTAGCCGACGTCAGATCTGCAAAACCCGAGATCCATGGCCACCACCTCCGCCCGCATCTTGGCATAAAGTAAATGTCCATTGCCGAGCCGATTGGGCCAGCGATGCGCCTAGTGAACACAGATGCGGACATGCTCTCTGATCTGCGCCACCCAGTGATGTAAAGGAGGAACCCTCGGCACCAGAGGCCCATGATTGAGCCACCGTATATGGCAATAGGTGGAGGAGGGTTCGAGTCCAGTAGGATCACAATGCACGCATGGCCAAGGAGCCGATGCAGTCCGCCTCAGATCCGTCTTTCTGCTGCAATCAAATCACACGCGTAGACGGGAGGCGATGCAGTCCATCTCACAAGGCATAGGATGGTGCGCTAACAACCAACACTGCTCGAATCACCAGCCGCCAGTGAGGTGCGCCTTGGGCAGTTAGCCGGCGCCGTCGGGCTGGATGGGAAGATCCAGAAAAGAAAGACCATGTCCCACCGCCACCGTCTGCCGCGGGCTTTGCCCGACGGCGTCGACCGGCGGTGGCTAGGGAAGACGCACAGAGGAGGCGGCCGGTGGAGGAGATCGGGGGCGCCGCCCATGCCGTCCGTCCGGACGACGTGGGGGCAGTTATAGAACTGTTGCTTGATGTGCGGAGACCGG